TGTTTGGTTTGTTTTGTTGTTTGTTGTTTGTTTTTTGTTTTTGTTTTTGTTTTAATGGCTGGTTGTTTCTAGCCACAGATGGAGCTTTAAAGGCAGCTTTGAAGTTTGTAACAATTGCTTCTTTCCAAGGGCACAAACAGTCTCAGGGAAGCTGGAGTTTGCGCAATGCTATGAGTAGAAATACAGAAAACGTTTGAAGTGACAACAGCTGTTTCTCATTTGTCTGTATTGTTAAAGGTTACACTAGACTATCCACAAAACATAGTAAGAATAAGTGTCTTGCTGGATGGTGGTGGCACACACTAATTTTTTAGCACTTGGGAGGCAGAGGCAGGCGGATCTCTGAGTTCAAGGCCAGCCTGGTCTACAGAGTGAGTATCAGGACAACCAGGGCTACACAGAGAAACCCTGTCTCGAACAAAACAAAATTATTATTATTATTATCATTAAATTAAAAAAAGTCTGGTTTGACTTTAAAAAGAAAATAGCCAGGTGTCATGGTAAATGCCTTTAATCCCACCCAGCACTTAGGAGGCAGAAGCAGGAGGATCTCTGAGTTTGAGAACAGCCTGGTTTGCAAATCTCCAGTACAGCAAGGGCTACAAAGAGAAACCCTATCTCAAGAGAGAGAGAGAGAGAGAGAGAGAGAGAGAGAGAGAGAGAGAGAGAGAGAGAGAGAGATTCTGGCACGATAGGTACTCACATAGAAGTCCAGCATTCAAATAGAAGAAGCAGGGGGATTGTAAACAGGAGACTAGCCTAGGATATACAGTGAGATCAAGACTGTACTATACAATAAGACCCTGTCACAAATAAAGAGAGCAGCTAACCAGCCAAGTAGTATCTCTCTATCTATTGCTCGCAGTAAATGATCAGCCTTTCGGTTTGATTTGGTGAAGCACAGCTGAAACTCAGTTCTGTTTACCTTGTTTCTTCCCTCAGCGGTGGAGTCATACCCCAATGCGAAGGTGCACTTTGGCCACAAGCTGTCGAAATGCCATCCCGAGGAAGGGGTGGTCACCGTGATTGGGTAATCACTGTTCAGGCTTTTGACTTCAGAGGGCAGGGGTGGGGGTGGTGAACTCTACCAGCAAACTTTGTTCTTTGGCTCTTTCGAAAGAGTTAAACGATTACTGAAGTGAAAATTCAAATAGTCTTCGCAGCCAGGGCCTTTGGTTTGAGAATAGTACCCGATGTTTTCTAAGTAGTTTGTGCAGGACATATGCAAATACTGAGCTGTTAGACACAAGAAACTTGAGCGTTTGCAGGTTTGGATATTCTGGAACCAACCCTGGAGGTCAACAAGGGACGAGGGTGTTCTGTTCTTAAGCGTGTATCTGGTATCGTTTCCTCAAATCGAGTGTGTTTTCTCCAGCAAACCCTGGTCACATGCCTACAGATACTCCTGAGTCCACTCACACTTACAGATGTGTTTACCCTTACACTTTGGGACTGCTTTCCCGTCTTCTCGAGGTTTTCTTCCTTCAGCTCTGTCACACTTCTGGAGCAAGCACATCTGTCTTTAGTATCAGAGTAGTGGTACATTATTCTCATTCTCAAAAGCAAAACCATGTCTGGGACAAGCATTTTCATCTTAATTTTAAATCTGTTGATTCAAGTTAGATAAAGTCAGGCTCTAAGTTAGATGTTTAAAAGTGGACATTTTGAGTTACTGCTAGGGTTTGCTTTTAACACCCAAGTCGAAATACATTACCGTTTTCACTAGATGTTTTTGTTGGCCGGGGGGGAATGGTTCATTCTGTTTTTCAGACCTGACCAAGTTCCCAGAGATGTCACTTATGACCTCATTGTAGGATGCGATGGAGCCTATTCAACGGTCAGAGCCCACCTCATGAAGAAGCCTCGCTTTGACTACAGTCAGCAATACATCCCGCATGGGTATATGGAGCTGACAATTCCACCTAAGAATGGGGAGGTAGGTCTTCTCCCTTCCCATAGCCGTCTCCCATAGTGTAACATGAAGGGGCCTGCTTGTTTGTGTTTTCTGTCCTGCCTGGTACCCCACAACTGTTAAGCCCCAAAGAAAATCACACAGAGGACTCCGTAAGTTATAAAGCTGATTGGCCCATTAGGTCAGGCTACTTATTAGCTCTTGTAACTTATATTAACCCATTATTTTGATCTATGTTAGCCATGTGGCTCAATACCTTTTTCAGTGGGACAGATCATATCCTGCTGCTTCGATGATCTGGGCAGGAGAGGGAGGAATCAACTTCCTCCTTCCCAGAATATTCCTGTTCTCATTGCATCATTTCTACTTCCTGTCTGGTTTTCCTGCCTATACTTCCTGTCTGGCCAATCAGCATTTATTTAAAACATGATTGACAGAATACAGACAATTCTCCTACACCACCATAGGAGCATCTAAGGAGAGCTAGTGGAGTAGATTAGTAATGTATTTCTGAAAGGAGATTTAAATTGTGTTTTTTTCATTCCCCTTTGTTCCATTACTAAGTTCTATGCTATGCCAGAAGCAGATAAGTGCTATGGAAATTTTTGCATGAAATTATTTTAATATAAAATTTTATGTTTAAAAGTAAAACAAAACTATTTGAGTCTGTCACAACAAATATAGAAATGTATTATGGAAAAGGAAATACTAACAGAGGCAATATAAGAAAATTAACTTATATAAAGCAGATAACGTCGAATGCTTAATTTGCATCCAAAACACGCATTCTAAAGTTTTGATCTGATTTCATCTCTTCTAGGTGAAGTAAGGGCATCTATAAAATATCTAATTAATCGAGACAGGAAAGTTACATTCTAACATACTCTACAGGGCAATCAAATCATTCTTTTTGTTTGTTTGTTTTTCGAGATAGAGTTTATCTGTGTAGCTTTGGAACTTGTCCTGGCACTTGCTCTGCAGACCCACCTGGCCTTGATCTCACAGAGATTGATCTGTCTGCCTCTGCCTCCCGAGTGCTGGCATTAAAGGCATGCGCCACCACCACCTGGCTCAAATAGATATTTTTAACATCTTATTGTCTTTCCATTTCTTCCTCATTGTCGTCAAATCTTTCCACTGATTTCCCTGTGCCTGTTGTGTGAGGGTCTTGAGCCGATAACTCTGGATTTCAGGGTGAGATGGTTCTGTTGACAAGCCAGCCTCACTGTAAGCAGAACGGTGCACAATAAAGTCACTGTAATGTGGTCACTTATGTTCTTACATTTCAGCCACTGTAATTATTTGTAATAATTAATAATAGTTTTTCAAGGTTTCATTTTTTCAAGCAGCTATCTTGAGACAAATATGACTCAAGTACAGGGGCCTTTTAACAAGCCCTAAACAATTCTTGGCATTTTTTAAAATTTTACTCTTCTAAAAGTATTTATTTATATACTAAAGTTTGTGGACATGTATTGTGCACTCAGAATATTCTTCCCTGGACCCTCTGCCCTTCTTTTTTCCTTGCCCTTTGTCATTTACACAGCCTTACTCTTACTTTCTTGCCTTGTATGTGCACGATTTTCTGTATCTAAGTAAAATCTAGGAATCAAAACTCAAGAAAACGTAAGATCATTGTGTAAAATCAGCCTAGTTCATGCCCTCAAATTTTTTGCCCCTTTCTTTTCTCTCTTCTCTTTACTGTGCAACTTGTGGTCCATCTCCCACGTGTGGAGTGGGAAGAGAGACTAGATGCAAGGCCTCTGGATGTTACTAGGAAAACATCTCCATTATTCTCATTCATAAGGTTTGTAAACTTAGCTTTACCTTAAAGCCTATATTTTATTTTATTCTTTGAGAAATTTATGCATGTACACAATAACGTAACTCCCTCTCTCATCTCAACATATCCCCCTCCTGACTTCATCTCTCTTCCTCCTCCTCCTTTTATTCTAATTATTTCTTTCCCAGTTAGTGCTGTTCATATTTGCATGGTTATGGAATCGTCCATTAGAACGTGGGAAACTTACCAGTGACCACACCCTCAAAGAAGAAAGAATTTCCCTCCTCTATCATTACCAATTGCCGGAGGCTCTTCAGGAAAGCACAATGCCCAGAAATCATCTCCTTTTTCTATGTGGAAAATTAAGATGACCTGATTTTGTGTAGAACTTGTGCAAACAGCCACAGATTCTGCGAGTGTTTGGGTGCAATCTCCATTCACAGCACTCCTCAGCCTCCTCCAGCCCCTACAGTCTTTCCATTTCTCCCTTCACACCTCAAGGCCTACCTCAGAGCTGTTTGGGAACAATAGGAATACTAACTGGATTTATGTTTTGAGGGACTTCAAATGAGAAGCTGGGATTTAAAGGTTGTTTTCTAGACTCGAGGACTATTTGTGAACTTCCCTGTATTCTTGGTAGCATACTGTATTTGCCATGATATACAAGCCATTCTTTGTGTCGGTGAGGAAGCCAGAACCTAAATGTTGGCTTCCTCATTATTTTAATCAAACTCTGACCTTTGATACTGTGTTAGGAAACCAAGTTAGCTTCTCTTGTTGTTTTCCTCCTTGTCTTACCTTTTAGAGTTCTGCAAAGATGAGGGAGTAGGAGAAAAATACAAACGATGGCAGGAGGGACAAGCAGGGTATTTGCTCCAAGCGCTAGGTGCCTCTCTACCTCCTCCACCTCACTCAGCCGATGAAGCTGTTCCCCACTTAGTTCCTCTGTGCTCTGATCTTCTATACAAGGCCCCTGTTTAGCCATTTACACATCAACCCATTATTTCCTATACTTTCAGTCAGCACCAAAACTCCCTCTCTCTTCCTTCCTCTCTCTTTATTAAGAAGTGACTTGGCTTTCCATGGTAGCTGTACTTTCTTGTCCACTCTAGTCCCTGTATAATCTTTGAAATCCAACAGTTAGGCACTTGATTCGTTTCAGGTCTATGGCTTAGACTTTGCTTAGGGTTCCAGGGCAAAAGCAACAACAAAGAGCAGAAGAACAGCAAAGCCAGGCAGACACAGACCTTTGTAAGACAGAATGACTGCTGCTTCAAGACAACGGTAGCTGGGAGCCTGTTGTTCCTTCAGTTTTGTTCTTACTACTTGAACTTAAGACTTTCCTGTCCCATCTATAAAAGCACTAGTGTAAAACTATTTCACATAATTCTACACACATAAACATCTGCCCACATAAATGTTTTATGTGCATATACTTTATGTACATACATATGTATATCGACATGCATGTTTCTGTGTGTAGAAAAGGTGAAAGAGAAGGAATATCTTATTACAGTATGTTCTCAAATCTTAAAATAAATGGCTAAAAAACTTGCTTAAATTTGAATGTATAAAGATAGAACCCAAAGTGTTTTCTCAGACAATATCTACTGCATGCAATAACACACGTGCAGTGCACCATATGTGTGGGCATGGTCTAGGTGACTGTGGAAGTAGTGCAGTCATGGTAGAGATGAGCTGCTTGCTAATCAAGCCTGTGTTCTTTGTTACAGTATGCCATGGAACCTAACTGTCTTCATATTTGGCCTAGAAATGCCTTTATGATGATTGCCCTTCCAAATATGGTAATGTACAAATTCTTATCTGCTATTTATGCATCTTAATAATTAATATTTTTATGACTTACTTTTTTTTTTTTATGACTTACTTTTGTGTTGGGCATTTAGGTAACCTATTTGATCTCATCAATTTTTAATCTAGAATTCCAGTCTTTAAGGTCTGCGGGACGTTAGTGTATGTGTATTCGTGTGTATTCGTTCTTTCGTTCGTCTCCAGGGTCTTTATCTATCCAGCTTGTTGTGTTCTGTGGTAGTCGTTTCCTTCCTGTTGCTATCTATCCACAGGATCAATACTATCTTAACAGGAAGCAAAAGAGGAGGAAAAAAATCACATGAAACAGTCTATAAACAATCCAAGGACTGCAATATTTGCTTGGTGAACGTGGATGGTTTGCACGGTAGCAGTTTTCCTGGTGACTCAGGAAGCAAGGAGTCCCCTGAGACATGGCGGAGCTTTCCTCCAGAGGAAAGGGGACAAAGCTGGCTTGGATAGTCTCCTCCAGGAGATCCTTAGTCCCCGCGAGGGCCCCGAGTACCAGCATCACAGTCTATTTTCTCTCTCAACCTGTCCCTCTGCTTCATAGGACAAGTCTTTCACATGCACCTTGTTCATGCCCTTCGAAGAATTTGAAAACCTTCCAACAAATTACGATGTGCTGAACTTCTTCCAGAAGAACTTTCCAGATGCCATCCCTCTGATGGGAGAGTAAGTCTCCGTGGGAAATTGCGCCTTTTGTGTCTTTGGTTTGAATTAGTCCAAATTCACAACAAAACTGCCTCAACTTTTCTTTAAAATTGTTTTTAAAATGCAGTGTCTGGAAGCCAGCATTAAAGCAAACGTCTAAGTGGGCTCTTTGTTATGAGTGGAGATTCTGAGAAAATCATGGCCAGTTTATCCCAGGAACACAAGTGCCAGTGTCCCTAGGCTTTCCTTGGACTCCTTGGGCTTGGTGTGCCTGCCACAAGACTGGTGGTGACTTTTTTTTTGAGACACAGATATGTGACACAACAGATACCTGTCTCGGGCCTGTCCCTTCCTAGCCGTGTGCTTTCCCAAGCTCAGGGCTCCTTGTGGTGAAATGCTGCTAAGTGATACTACCTACCTTGGGCAGGTTGCTGTAGATTAAATATGATTATCCTATACACTGCTCGGCATAAGACCCACAGGGATTAAATTCTGCCCCACCAAGGCTGAGTGAATTAACTAGCTAGCTGGTTTGTGATTGGCTGCTCACCTGGCCCATGTCAGCATCCCCCTCCACATGGACTTTGCTGTGTGTTCTCATTTAAGGACTCTGCTTGCCCCCAAATACTGCGTGCGCACACACACACACACACACACACACACACACACACACACCAAACACCTAGTTCACTTTTTACTCCAGTGTCCTCTCCAGGGAGATAGAACAGTGCTGCGGAAACAAGTGTGACCTATAGAGGCCTGCCACAACAAAACTGTCACACACTGGGTGACTTAGAAGTGACAGAAAGCTTTTCTCCCAGCTCTGGAAGTTGACGTGTTCAGGATCAAGGCCGCAGCAGATTTGGGTCTGGGGAGAGCCGGTTCCTGGCTCACGGAAGAGGCCTTCTGCTTGTGAGGACTCCTGTGACCGAAGGGACATGGATCTCCCTGGGGTCTATTTTGTAAGGCGAAAATCTGATTCGATCTGAACTCCGTGCTCGTGAGTGAACCATCTCCTGTTCCTGGCTGCAACCGCTGTGGTGTTGAGGATTCAGATTTCGCATACGGAACGTGGGGCACAATCAGACCAAAGAGGAGCAGGCATTTTTTGTTTCCCAGACAGGGCCTCCCTGTTGCAACCGGCGCTGATTTGGAACCCATAATCCTCACTCCTACGCCTTTGGTGCTGATGTGCCTCCAGGCCTGGTTCACAGCAAGATTTCAACCCAGTCTGCCTCTTCCTTCCCAATGTGCACCTTGGAGACGATTATCAAGGTGCCTTCCTGATAGCTGAGTTATGAAACCCACAGCTACCTATGCAAAACAGAAAGTACAGCCCCAGCCCAGCAGGGCTTGACAAGCACCAGCTGTCACAGGCTCCTGGTCTACAGAGACCTACAGCTCTCTACCCTTGAAGAGAATCAGCCTGCACACCGAATTGAGCTCCTATGTCAATTAAAATTGTTCCGTGGCTGCTTCTTACATCCTTAGTCATATTTAATACTATTTTCAAAGTTTTCTAAATTACATTTGTGTATTGGTTTATTTGTTGAAAGAAGGGCACTGTGGCATGCAGCATGCATGCAAAGGTCAAAGGACAACTTGTGGGAGTCAGTTCTCTTGCTTTCTGTCACTTTGGGGACTGAACTCAGGTCCTCAGGCTTGGGAGCACACACTTCACATGCTGAGCCATCTTGCTGCCCTCAGACTTTAGATTACTGAGAACATTCCGTATTTTTGTATTTGTAGTTTCTAGAAAACCTCTCTTGATGCTTTACAAATATCAGGATTTTTCTTTGTGTTTACCCTAGTCTTCACTCACAGTCAATAACAGATGATGAGTTTACTTCAGTACAGCTAAAATTGTGACCCCATTGGCCAACTTATTCCAACCTCCCCAGCATGATTTTGATTGCGGTTATTGATTTCCTAAGATATAAGGATTCACATTAATCTCATTTGCTTTGATCTAATAAAATACACTGCAGCATTTGTTCAGTATTTGCACAGGAGTCTAAAATACACTATTGTATTTGAAAATAGCCTAAAATACAATAATACATTAAAAACACTATGGTCCACATACATAATAATGATTTGATGACATGACATATGATACAGACATATTTCAAATTATGCAAATGCTTCCAGACTTATCCTTTTGTATGTATTTAACCTTACCACAAACAGTGGTAATGAGAACAGTGTAATTATGTGTGTATACATGTTTATGTTGTAAGTGTACATGTTTGTATGTACACGTGGAGGCAGTCCAAATGCACGTATACACACACACATATGCATGTTTCTGGAGACTAGAGGCTGATAATGGGTGTCTTTCTCAGTTACTCTCCACCATATTTTTAGAGACAGGGTCTCTCACTGAACCTGGAGCTTGTTGATTGGCTAGACTAGCTCTCCAGCGAGGTGAATGAATACCTGGGGTGTGATGGATAGGTGACTGAGCCACTCACTAGTCAAATATTCTTTTGGTTACTGAAATAGAGTCCAAATAAAAGTAGCTTGTGCATCTTTTCTACACGGCATTGGCAACCATCTTGGTTCGTAGGAACATAAGAAAATATTGATTGTAGCACAGTGAATAAATTCCAAGCTTCCGGCAGCGGAATGATTGCCAGTCCCCCCGAGATCCTTCCTTCTCTATTTCCCACCAGTGCCGGGATTATAGGCATACACTCCAGGCACACCCTGTGTTTCATGTGCGTGCTGCCATACTTGACCTTACATGGAATTCAAGCTCTGAATTTAGGTCCTTATGCTTGCACGGTCATCATTTAACCAATTCGCCTTCTCCTTAGCCCTAGAATAGCAGAATTTATTTCCCTTTTCTTTTTTCCCTGGTTCTGGGATTGAACCCAGGACCTGAGACATGTTAGACAAGCAATCTTCCACTGAATTACATCCCCCCCATCTGCTGTTTAACTGTTGTCATTATCAGTTTTTTTCATCAAAATACCAAGGCAACGAAGCCAATATATAAAAGAACTTAGCGGTGATTAACCCCAAGTAACCTGTTGATATTCTGATTGCTTTCTTCCACAGGCAAGCCCTCCTGAGGGACTTCTTCCTGTTGCCTGCCCAGCCCATGATATCAGTGAAGTGCTCTCCCTTCCACCTGAAGTCACACTGTGTGCTGATGGGAGACGCAGCTCACGCCATCGTCCCATTTTTCGGGCAAGGAATGAATGCGGTGAGTTCTTTTCCTGTAGGAAAGTTCCTGGATCATTCCAACGTCAGTCTCAAATACTACATCCTAAATAGAAGGGCCATCTAAACCACCCCCACACAGTCCCAAGAACACAGCCATTTCCCTTGTCAGCCCAGTTACCCAGTCAGACTAATGTCAACTCCATCAAGGGCCCAGATTGTCTGATACAATAACCCATTCCAGAGAGAAGCACAACATATGGTATGGCAGCCTGTTTCCTTGAGAGCTGTGTCTACAGCCTAATGTGCCGACAGCTAACATGACTGGCAGGTCTAAATAAAACCCCAAACTGGTTAAATGTTGATAGTACTACTTTCATGGAAATTTTGGTATTGTGGTTAGAAGGAAAATTTTAAACTATAGCACTCTGATATTAAATGTTAATATCAAGAGTCTTATTAATGTTATTAATATATATATATACATACATGCAAGACATTAATAAGATATATATGTGTGTGTGATAGTAGTTTAGCAATCACTAGTCATATATTGCTTTGATGATAGGACATTATTTCAAGTAAAAGCAGCTTGTGACTTTCCTACAAAGCAACTGCAAGCACTTAGTTTCCTAAGAACATAAGTAAACATCACTTACAGTCCTTTGGATAAACATGGGAGTTCTGGAAGTAATTCATCCCTTACCCCCGGGATTCACTACACAATGTGTTTTGCATAACTTACTTGACACCCACATTTCATCTCTAACACTAAACTTTTACTAGTGTCTACCCCAACACGTACCGAGGAAAAAAAATTATTTTAGGTAAGAATTTATAACTGTTGTCTTGACGTTATACATCATACCTTATGCCAAAATTCCTATACCATAAAGAATTTGCAGACGTTCATTGAAAAGTACATTCACTATTTCAAGTGCAATCGCTGTAGTTGATGTGAAAAATCTGTTTTACATATTTTTACATTGTCTCTGACACTGTAGTTTGAATTTGTAGATAATGGAAATTCACTACTCAGGGTTCTTATTCTTCATTGCATTTAGTATGACCTTACAATTTTTTCATGTTCTTCATGTTCAAAATTTGTCTTAAATTTGAGTTATAGGAACTAAATTAATTTGAGCCTATCATTAATATTTTTTAGCAGTAATGGGAACTGAACCTAAAGTCAACCATTGAATTTTATGTTCAGCTCATTCAATCATTCTGAACATGAATCTTAGAGGCTCAAATAGTTTACAACTAACTCAAGGTAAAGACATGTAATTGTTAGTCTTAAAGAGGCATTGAGATCCACAAAAATTTTTTGTTGCTCATTTTCAAATCATTATACTCATTCCCGAGATCAGTGAGGCAAAGACAGCATGAGGATCTAGCTGCTGGTCTTTGCATCATGATTAGGCATCAGTTGAGAAGCTCTCTGTGCAACATTCCCACCAGTACTAGCTTTCCTTATAATTACTATGAAGTATTTCATTAGTTATGCCTTATTTTTACCCATTTTTCTTGTTTCAGGGCTTTGAAGACTGTTTGGTATTTGATGAGTTAATGGACAAATTCAATAATGACCTTAGTAAGTATACTTTCTCAGGGGGACATAGACTAACCCAGCTGATCAGCTGTGGGTCTATTTATGACACCAACGCTCTAATAGTATCTCTGCCGCAGCCGCTGCCTATCCCAGAGAGTGAACACCCAGAGAGGGAAGTCTAGGATTCATGGAGGAAAGTGCTTTGCATTGCTGCAACAATACCTGGGATAGTCACCTTAGAAAAGGTTTACTGGGGCCTGTAGCAGACTTTTTCTTCTGGGCCACCAACCAGCTGCCAAATCATGACACAGAGACTTGTTATAAGTTATGAATGCTGAGCCTAGCTTAGGCACATTTCTGGCTAGCGCTTTTAACTTAAATTAACAGGTTTCTCTTTCTCTACCTCTCCTTTCAGAGCTTATTATACTTCTTACTTCTGTGTAGCTTACTTTCACTGCTTCTCTATGTCTGGCTGGCTGCTGCCTGGCTCCTTGCCCCAGGTATGTCCCTCATTCTCTCCTCCTTCTTCTCTCATTTTTCCTTCTTCTTTTTTCCTGAGCCAAGATTTCTTCTCCTATTAATTTTCTCTGCCTGTTAACCCTGTCTATCCTTTCTCTGCCTAGCTATTGACCATTCAGTTCTTTATTAGACCAATCAGGGCCTTAGGCAGGCAAGGAGAAGCAGATGCAACACATCTTTACATTATTAAACACACATCCTCACATTGTTAAACAAATACAGCATAAACAAATGTAACATATCTTTGCCTGGTTAAAATAACATTCTATAACAGTGGCTCCCAGTTTCAGAAGTTCTAGCCTGTGATCAGTTGACCCCCTCGCCCTTGGTTTGTGAAGAGGAAACATGGTGGGGAGCCAGCAGCAGAGAAAAAGGCACTCACCTCCTGTTCTGGACGTGACAGAGAGAGACAGGGAAAACTAGGACCCACAGTCCCCTCCACGGGCACAGCTCCAGTGACTCAGGGACCTCTAGGTAGGCCTCATGCCTGCAAGGTCTGACCACTTCCCAGTAGCAGTGACCCACTCACAGACAAGAGTTCAGAGCAGCAAATCAGGGTGATGGGTGTACCGTTCTTTGTCTCCCTTCCACCTCGGGTGCCCACCTTTGCCTACAGCCTTTGCAGCACACCCTCAGAAACACCTAAGTCCTCAAAGAAACACACAAGAAATAGTGAAAGGGAAGGGCTGAGCATCGTTTAAAGTTGTCATGTGAACATGTCCAGCTACTTGCTGTGACTAGAGAAGCCACTTGAAGAGGAAAAGGTTTGCTTTGGTTTATAGTTCGAGGGTCATGGGTCATGGCACCGGGAAGGCATGGGGCAGAAGTGTGAGTCACATTGTACCTGCTGTCAGGAAGCAAAGAGAATTGCTGGTGCTTGGTCCACTTTCTCCTTTTTGTTCACTTGGGACAGCAGCTCCTTGGATAATGCTGCCCACATTAAGGATCCGTCTTTCCTCAACAGTTCTACCTCTCTGGAATCTTCCCTATAGACACGCATCTAGAGATGTGTTTCTGTGGTAATTCTAAATCCAGTATGTTCTCAGTATAAATTAACATCACAGCAATTATTTTTGTTTGTGGACTAAGGGAAATGATGACTTAAGTAACCAATATTAAAAAATATTAGTTTTATCATAACCTTTCTTTGACCACAAGATGTCAGTGTTCAGTGGACATTGCTCAATAACTGTAGATTGTTGTGGTTATCAATAGTTTTACAAGATTAGAAAGTTGCTAGGAGAAACACTGTTTAGTTTGACTTAGCAGGATATCAGTATTTTTTTAAAAAAGATTTTATTTTGCTTTTTAAAAAGATGTATTTATGTGTCTGTGTGTGTATGTCTGTGTGTGAGTGTGTGGCATGTATGTTCAGGTGCCCTCAGAGGCCAGAATATGGCATTAGATCTTCTAAGACACATCAGCAGGTTGTTGTGAGCTACCCAAGGTGGGTGCTGGGAACTGAGCTCAGGTCCTCTGTAAGAACAGTCCATGCTCTTAGCCACTGAGCTATCTCTCCAGCATATTTTCTGTATATTATTTTAAACACATATATGTTTTATTTAATCTTGGTTTCTAGGTTTGTGCCTTCCTGAATTCTCAAGATTTAGGATTCCAGATGACCACGCAATTTCAGACCTGTCTATGTACAATTATATAGAGGTGAGGAAAGTTTGGCAGTCCACAAACAGACTAGCTAGCAGTCTTTTTCTCTTCCTTGGCCCCAACTCTGTCTCATACATGCTGCATGAGAACATGTGTGGACAAAAGCGCACATATACACATACACACGTACATACACACGGTAAAAGTCAGTTGACTTTAACACACCATTTGTCTTTTTTTTCAGCAAATTTTTTATTTTTAATTAAAAATTTCTACCTCCTCCCATTTTCCTCCCCCTCCCCCCATCCTCCCTTCCCCTCCCTCTCCAGTTCAAAGAGCAGTCAGGGTTCCCTGCCCTGTGGGAAGTCCAAGGTCCTCCCCCCTCCATCCAGGTCTAGGAAGGTGAGCAACCAAACAGACTAGGCTCCCACAAAGCCAGTACATGCAGTACAATCAAAACCCAGTGCCATTGTCCTTGGCTTCTCAGTCAGCTCTCATTTTCAGCCACGTTCAGAGATTCCGGTTTGATCACATGCTCCATCACTCCCAGTCCAGCTGGCCTTGGTGAGCTCCCATTAGATCAGACCTGCCGTCTCAGTGGGTGGGCACACCCCTCGCGTCCTGACCATTTGTCTTAAGAAATAATATCGACCGGGGAAACAGAATATATGTATATATATATATATATATATATATATATATATATATATATATAGTCTTCTGAGTAACACCAGGGGCTAGGTTTTGTATGTTTTCAAGGCCATGTCTTGGGATTTCTTGGGAGCGCTTCGGAGTGATGATTGGGGAAATAGGATTTTATTTGACTCTTGTGTTAGCATCCATTCTTGTGACAACTGTGAATGAACACTCGCAGCAGATCACTGTGCGGGAATTGAGGTGCTTCATTTAAGGTGCTCTCTTTAAGACGCCTGTCATTGCAGATGCGAGCACATGTCAACTCCAAGTGGTTCCTGTTTCAGAGGCTCCTAAATAGATTTCTTCATGCTATTATGCCATCGACCTTTATCCCTCTCTATACCATGGTAAGGAATGTATTAAAGATTTCCCCCTCATTCTCCCTCTGTTTAGCTAATAAAGAATACAGCAGATGCTCTTTAAATTCCCCTGCAGGTTGCCTTCACCAGAATAAGATACCACGAGGCAGTGCTGCGCTGGCATTGGCAGAAAAAGGTTGGAAGAATTTGACTACTGAAAAACTCGATGTGTTGAAGTGTCCTATAGTTTCATGGTTGTATTTATTTCAGGAAAATGCAGACATGACAGGACAGAGACATTATGCTGCTCTTCCAAATAAAACCTGTCCTGAGTCTACAGAGTACATAGCACACATCCTGCATGATGGGAAAAAAAAGTAAACAGAAATTTGAAAATGGGGAGGCTGATATTTCTCAGCTTTTTGCTTTGTTTACACATTGAGATCCATCTGGACTTTGGCATTATGTGGCATCTTTGTGAGTTTAATTTGTAAAACTAGATAGAATTGCATCATTGACTTTTCTAGTGGGATACAGTGATGCGATCACTTGGAGAAGCTGACCCAGGGGTACCATTAAATGCAATTCAGATTCCTGACTGCTTTGGGAATTTTCTAACTTCATTTGTCAATGATTTTATTGGATGCATATATACTGAGCTAGAAACTTCAGTGAACAAGATGTAGTGTCTACCCTACGGGTGGCTCAGGAACTCATAGGAAATGTGGACAGATATGGTGGAGAACGCTTCAGGGGTTACTGCAAGGAGAATATAGGCTAGGAAATAAAGGCTGAAGATATACTAGCCAGGAGGTCCAGGGTGTAAGAATGATCAGATGAAAGTGGGGGGGGGGAGGTAAGTGGGAGCTTCAGCATCTGCTGAAATAAGAAGATTGGCTTATGGAAGACTGAGAGACCTAAAAAGGCTTAAACACCCAAGCTAAGACTTTAGGCCAATACCTTTGTCGTATAGAGAATGGGCCAGAAAGAGTCAAGAGCTACCTGTAAGCTCTACCTCTATATAACTGAATAAAATAGGGGCTGGGAAGATTGCTCTGTGGGTAAAGTACTTCCGCATAGTCATGAAAGCCTGCGATGAGACCCCCAGCATCCACATGAGAGTTAGACATAGTACACATCTGTAACCTTGTTCTAGGGGTGGGGTAGGGTAGATTCCAGGGACTTGCTCTCCAAAACAGTGAGTTTTGAGGCTAGTGAAAGACTGTCTCAAAACAATAAACAGTAGAGAAAAAGGGGAAGCCACGTGACAGCGATCTCTGTCCTCTACACGTGTACGCACTGGCAAGGGCACACCCTACATGTGCACACACAACACACATACATATACACCAAATAAAATAGTGTCCCTGACCTCAAAGAGACAAACATGCCAAGGAGAAAGAGACAAGCAGGCAGAGTGTGCTGAAATCAGAGCAGGGGCAGAAGAGAGGTCAAGCAATCAAGTTGCTGCTTCAAGTTAAAAGCAACAGAGAACTGCACTCTTGTCTGTGATGTAGGAAAGACGTTTATCTCAAGATACAACCTCTGGATGAATAGTTTTGGATTTTTGCCTCCTTGCAGGTGATAAACAAAGGACTCTTCATTCTTGGATCCCTGATAGCCATCGGAAGTGCCTACCTACTTGTGCACCACCTGTCCCCGAGACCTCTGGAATTGTGGAGAAGGTCGGCATGGACTGGAACCACTGACTACTGGAGAAGCACAGGTGTCTTCCAGCAAGTTCCATGGAGTCACTAGGACAAACTAGAGCTTCAAGGTTCCTGGTAGCAAATGTTTGTTCTCTCCCCAAAATGAAGGGCAAGAAGTAAACAAGAAGTTTACTTTGGCACATTTAATTCACTACTGGAAAATAACTGTCAGCATATAATTAAGTTTCCTGCAGAATTTTTGTGCCTGCCGAGCAAAGGGAAATGCTGCTGTTGTTTTCTGTGGTGTTTCCATCACTTTGCATGCTTGGGCTGGGTCCATTTAAATTTAAAAATGTAAGAACCAAGGTCTCTTTCACTTCTCAAAAACAGGGTTTTGTGTTTTTTTTTTTCTATACAGGACATTGTAGGAGCAACAACACTCAGAACTGAAAACCACAGCTTGCCTAGTGTGCTGCTTCCTTTTTGTAGCGGTAGATGGGGCTTGCCTAACCCCAGGAACAGGGCACTTGCTAAAACCAGGAGTGTGAATGAGAGGCAGCGTGTTTCAAAGAGTTCCCAGATGAATCTGTTCTATCCCCCAGTCTTCAGATAGCAGAATTATTACCTTTTAAACAAAAGAAAGGGCTATTAATGCTCCTAAGTGAAGAATAAAAAGGGGTTGTTATTAGTAAATGAAATATATATAGGAGTGAAAAGGAGATGGGAAGGCTGTCTTACAGACACATGGAGACATAGTTCATTCCGTTTCAGACACGGAAGCGGTGCCTTGAATGTCACTCTGTGACAGTTAACTTCATCTTTGAAGTGCAGTGTGAAGACGCTGGTTCTTCTTTCAGTAGGCTGATTGGTACACTTGAAAATTCTTTTCAAATATTATTAATTTTGAAAGCTATGGATACCAGTGATGTAGGAAAGACTGAGGTGATAAAGATGAAACAATTTGGCATTTTCCATAGTCTCAAAGATGTCCTTGAGCCCTATTAATTTAGGTTTAATGTGGAAGGAAAGAAAAAAATTGTTTCCGTGGAAAGGGGATGTAGGTCAGTGGTAGAGAGCTTACTTAGCGTGCCCAGAGTCCTGGGTTAGATTCCCTAGCATTGCGAAAATAAACAAACAGTATAATTGTTCCTTTTATTTAAGTTTGTTGGCTGTGGCTACTATAACAGACAGACTGACAATAGGAAGCAAACTACAGTTTAGAAGCTTGTATATCTCACATGCACATGGGAGACACTCAGAAAATGAACTGACTTAGGGGCTGGAGAGATTGCTCAGCTCATCTCCGCTCTTGCAGAGAGCACCAGGTCCTAGCTCCCATGTCAGGCAGCTCGCACCTGCCCATTACTCCAGCTCCAGGAGGTCCAATGTCTCTGGCTTCCCTGGGCTCCTGCACCCATGTGCACATAACCACATATAGACTGCACCCCCCCCATGATTAAAAACCTTTAGAGGCTATAATTTCTATTAGTATCAACGGGGTGCACGGGAGGGATTGGAGGGAAGAAAGTGAGGGCAAAAATGATGTAATTTTATTTTAAGTTTAAAAGGGGGAATCTATGTAATACATAATGTTGTGAGGAATGAGCTAAAATAAAAATCTAGCACATTTAAAAACATTTAAAATACTGTAAGCTCATATAGAACGCCCTGGTTTACATCATCTTCAACAAGAAGCAAAGTCACAGAGCCATGAGAAGACAAGGGAAAAGGACCGGAAGCCCTAGAATAGCAATCTTTAGGCCACCTTGGCAAGGGGGGCAGCCGGGGAGACTTTCCTTCTCTCATTTCTTCTCAGTGACTTTCCGCTCAAGGTAACCCTGCAAAATGGAGCACATTTGGGGGTAGTATCTTCTGTTCTCCTCCGAGTACGGGCAATGACACATGCGAAGATGTCCTCCTCACTAACATGGCCCATTAGTGATCCAGGAGTCTGCTGATAAGCGGTGAAAATTTAAAACCACATTATATGAAGCTAGCGAGGTGGCTCAGTGAGAAAAAGTGCATGCTGCCAAGCCTGATGACCCGAGTTCGATCCCTGAGGCTCACCTGGTGGAAGAAGGGGACTGTTTCCCGCAAGCTGTCCTCTGATTTCTACATGCATGCAATAATAAATAAATGTACTAAAATTTAAATTATATTGCATGGTATTAGGACACTATAACACTTATTTTCAGCCCTCTCTGAATGTAACTTTGTTTACTGGGAACTCCTTCGTAGGTGCAGGACTTTTGACAAAATAATAGGAAATCATTAAAAGGAAAGGAGAATTTACCAAACTAATTTTTGAAAAGGACATGTGGAGGTATCAAAAGATCTTTAACACTCCTTTTCCCATGCATCTTCTCCCCTGTGGTATCCTTAACCATCTGCGTGGCCAGCATGAAGTCTCTCTGCTTTTCTACAAAGCTTCTTACAGTGTCTTCTGGAACTTGCTTCCTTAACCCGATGCCCTGGCAGTCATACAACATACATGACAACAGCCTTAGGTTTTCAGATAAAAGTGGGGATTGATTTATTACCTCCTTAATAAACTGAATTGGGCGAACATACAACATGACACAGAATAGGACCCAACACCGTAACAAAGCTCAGCTGTCCCAGCCATTGCACACATGTCTTTGAGACAGTTATTTATTTACACAGTGAAATATATCTGAGACACAAAATGTATTATGTGCTTTGGCAAATATGATCATTCAAATGTTAAATCCTGGCATAGTAGACGATGGTGCCAGATGCTCATCTTGTGCCACCAGGAGTTTCTCATATTGTAAAGCACCCATTGAATGAAAAATAATTTGTCTTGTTCAGTCAGTTCTTCAAGACAGACGACACGTGGTCAGTTCAAATTTCCTGCTAGGCCACAAGGTTGTGCTGTTCCTGTGCCAAGTGGGGACTCCAGGATGGTCCTTAGAGTAGATGTTGCCTGGCAACGGATACAAGACCCCATCTCCCATTCTTACAAAGGACGAACTTGGATGACATCGGCCTTGGATGCATTGGTTCTGTCGCTGTCATCGACAGACAGAGACTCATCACTGGTGATGATGAAGATGATGGAAGAGGAGTTAAAGGTCACTTTCTTCTTCGGCCTGTCCCCGTCTTTCTGTGACATCACAATGGGCCTGATCTGCAGCTCGCTCTCAGCGGCTGGCAGGTTTTTCGCAGGCCGCTGGCATCTCAGCAGTTTGAAGCATAGGAGCTGTAGAAGGGACCTCCGAAACTGTGGAGAAGAAACGGGGCAATAAAGCCAATTATTAAGTGAATCTTTAATCAGTTAAGTGGTCCTTAATCTGGAGTAAAATTGAAGACAACTAGTAGAGCTTCTCTCTCTCTCTCTCTCTCTCTCTCTCTCTCTCTGTTTGTGTGTGTGTGTGTGTGTGTGTGTGTGTGTGCGCACACACACACACGTATAAGCCTATGCACATGGATGCTAAAGCCAATCTCAGGTGACATACATCTTGTTTTTTGAGATAGGGGCCTGAGGCTTGCCTCTTGGGCTAGGCTGGCTGGCCAGTGAGTCCACAGTGACCCACATACCTGCATCTTCTCAGTGCCGGATTACAGACACCACCACAGCTGGCTTTGTTTGTATGTGTTGAAGAATTGAACTCAGGTCCTCTGACTCGTCATTTCCCCAGCCCCACCCCCTTTCTTCATTAGATGGCATGGGATGAAGTCATACAGTAATGCTCAGGTCTACCAAAGTACCCCATTGATGTTTGGTCTTTTATGTACTACAATTCTTGTTCACTAGATAAAAAGGAATATTCTAATCCTTTGTGGTATCCATGGTTCCAATGTATAGGAACCTTTTCTGAGGGTAGCTTGACCTGCAGATTTAAGGAATTCAGCCGTTAAATACTCAGTGAGCAGCCCTTGAGTGATGACTACTGGGCTGAGACCTGGAGACACTACTCACAGCAGACAAGGACTTCTTCCATGTTTCTGAGACCCTCTCAGGTTTCCTCCCTGCTCTTCTGCTTCTACAAGAGCCTGAGTGACCAAGGGTCAAACAGACAAGTACCACAAAGTCCAGGGGACATTTACTGATGGCACAGAAAACAACCTGTCATGAGGTATTGCACCATCTGCAGTCTCTGGCCTCATAATAGATATTGCTTCTTTGTCACTGGGCTAAAAGACTGAGATGTTTGCTAAGCATTAGGTCTACCACGGCCAACAGAACATCCTCATGCCAAGTCAACATGTTAGCCTTTTTGTTTAATGCAGGGACTTTCCCTGGTCAGAAAACACTAATAAAGAGATACATTGATTTCTATGTTCTTTAGTGTCCCCACCAACTATATGCAGGGCACATTTAGCTTACATTAATATTTGAAAACACACAATCGATGATGTATTCAGCAAATCACCATTTTACAAGTCAAGTTTAGTGCTTGAGATACATTGCTGTCGGAGTTGAGTGAAGTCTGTAAGCCAGAATGCTTCCTCACATTCAGCTCCTTATGGGAAGAACGGCTCCCATTTGCTTCTGTCAGTTTGTTGTGTTGCTTAGGATTCCTGTGTAAAGTGTACTAACGGGAGTCAGAATCATCAGGAACCTTGGGGAGCTCGTCAGAAATGCAGAGTGCCAGGAAGCCAGACATTGTAAAGGGACAATTTTTAAACTATACATTCAGATTTGGTGAAATCATATTCAAGTTTAGGAGCTTTGATTCATAACTCATTGGCTGGAAGAAAAGGCACAAACAAATGATTTTTGGTGAGTGCATTAAGTTTTGCCTACTGTGCCAGTGGTCTTTCATAATCTATAAGTGGGATAAAGTTATTGTCTATTTTGTTTTGAAGATAATGTATAGAACCTTCATAATATACTAATTTAATTTGAGTGATAATTTTTATTAGTAGTATATACAAACCATTTTCTTGTAAACTAACTATTAATAAGTATTGCCTAACAATTACTATACATATATTGGTAGATTTTATAACTAATTTTTTCTTTTGGGAATATTCTACATTTTTTTCTTAAATTTTTGCTTTTTTATTTATTTCTTAAAAGACTTTTTATTTTATTATTATTTGTGGTGTGTGTGTGTGTGTGTGTGTGTGTGTGTGTGTGTGTGTGTAAACATATGTGTGTTGATACCTGCAGAGGCCAGAAGAGGGCATTGGATCCCCTGGAGCCAAAGTTACAGCAACTGTAAATCACCCGACATGGGACTCAAATTCTAGTCACTAGAAGAGAAGCAGGCACTCTTAACCTTTGAGCCATCCCTCCAGCACACTTATATAAAAATCTTAAATTGGGGTTTTGTTTTTTAGATTTGTTTTATCCTTGATATTGTTCTAAGTTGTCACACTACATAAAATCTATTTTTTAATACTTAATTTTATTTTATGTAAATTGGTGTGAGGGTTTCAGATTCTCTGGACCCAGAGTTACAGATAGTTGTGAGCTGCCATGTGGGTGCTGGGAATTGAACCCAGGTCCTCTGGAAAAGCAGCCGGTACTCTTAACCACTGAGCCATCTTTCCAGCCCATAAAACTTATTTATATTTGTTCCCCGGGGTGAAAGCAAGTCCATTCCAGTGCTTACCTTTCTGATCATGAAGATATAGATAACTGGATTGTACACAGTGCTCGATTTAGCAAAGAGATAAGCAACAATAGACACTGTTGGAGTGATCAGGTGTCCATAGCCATTAGCCACCAAGAAGCGGGTCACAATATAAGGCATCCAGCAGGTGAGAAAGACAAAGGCCATCAAAAAGCACATTTTGGCCACTTTCTTTTCATATCTTAAAATCTTGATCACTTGAATTGTCTGGAGATCTTCGACACAGCGTAGCTGTAGGAAGTGAAGAAAGGATGGACTTTTCTTTTTAAGCAGATAAACAGTCACCCTGTATGTGCTCCCTTCATGGAAAGAGACAAGAGACGGACTGACTTCTGACCTGAAGCTTGACCTAGCCTTTCTCTCTTCTGGGCTTCAGTTCTTTCAACTAAAACCTACTGTGTTTGATCTAAATAGCTTCTGAAGACATTCGGGGAGGGTGAAAAAGGGGGAAGCAGGGGGAGAAGAAGCAGGATGGGCACACACACCCACAGCACGTGTGTGGAGCTCAGAAGACAACACCCAGTGTGGGTTCCTGCCTTCCACCTTGTCTGAGATGAGATTGGGTTTCTCTGGCCTGTTTCTAGAGACTCTCCTGTCTCTGCCTCTTATCCTGCTATAGAATCGCTGGTGTCACAGATACATATCACTTCACTGTATCTGGGTTTGCGTAGATTCTACGGACTCAAAAACAGTCCCTCATACTTGAGCAGCAGTTGCTTTACTGACTGAACCATCTCACAAGCTCCCTTTAATGGTTTTTAAATGCTTTTCTAACTTACTTAATAAGGCTAAGATACATTATTTTATCTAGATCTTCAAATTCCTAAAACAGCCTGAAAGGTTTGTGGTCAAATGGAAACAATCTCTTCATGATTGAGGAAACTGTTTTGCCCAAAGCACTGATTTATAAATTCTCCAACCAGATAACAGACTTATGCCATGCTGGACATGCTAAAGAGAGAAGCCTGCAACTCGAGATGCAGGCAAGTTACTTGCATGAGGTGCTCTGCTAAGGGAATGACATAGGCTGAAGTCAAAGCTCATTTTTAATCACTTCTCCTGTTTTCAGTCTTTCCCTTGTCTCTCCCTGACACACAGCAGTTAGGAAATTGCACACAGCTGAAGCTAAAGGTGACATGCGGCTGTGACTCCTGTGTCCGTCATTGCAGCCTCTTCCTGCCTGGTCCCCACATGAACCGGCTTGGTGCGCGTTCCTGTCCTTTCCAGCTCTACCAGTCTCTGACAAATAGGTTTGTGTGATCTTGAAATGAATATAATTATGGAAACTATAACTTTTCTCCTCAGAATTCTTAACTTTTAAGAGTGCTTCATAATGTAAGTTTTGGGGTTGGTATTGTCTATTTGCCTTTTGCTTGTTGCTTTTGGTTATAGAGGATGGTGTACAGAAAGTCAATGTCACCCCTCAGTGATCTGCTTGGGGAATGATTCACAGTGCAAAGTTCTACCAAACATTAAGTCCCGAAGAGTCTTTCAACCCTGGGTAAATAACTGATCATATAGGGAGAGTTTGGTTCTTTTCACATCAA